GTTTAAGTGTTTTGAATAGTCGCAGCATTTGCTGGGCACGGTTTGTATTCCGGAAAATACATGGTGGCAGTGGAAGTTTTGTGGGTAAAGGGTTAACTGCGGAGTTAACCAACCCTGGTGACGATCGCTCTCAGTCTGCTGGCCTGAGATTGTGTCCTGCGAGCTGGGAAATCTCTGCGCAGGGTGAGGCTGAGAGTGGTATCGCCACGTCCTTGTGACGCTCACGCTCGGTTCAGACTGGTGTATGGTCACGTGATATTGACGTACAGCGAGTCTGGGCTGGGCGTACGTCACAGTCAATGGGGCCAAAACCACGCGAGATCCACCTCAAAATAGTTCCTCCATCTTTTTGCGCGGGCATTTTTCTACGCGCGAGGCAACACTAAGGTGTTAACAGTTGCCATTGACTTCCATGGAAATGTGTGTTGTGTGCGTTTTTGTGTGCATAGATTTGCATGGATAAAGCTCAGGTGTGAATTAGGCCCGACTTCCAGAGGCAGATGCATGTGGAATTTTTAGTTTCACCACAGCCCTAGGGTCGAGGTTTGCCTACCCCTGGTCTAGATCAAGTTAGAAGACATACTATCTGCAGGAATAATTATGGTTAGTTGCAGTGATGTAGGCCTTGGCAGCCAATCATATTGTAGCACATATGGCTGTATTATAACATTTCTTATAAAAAAAGGGTCTGCGAGCCTCTGTTCTTTGAACTGCCTGTTACTCATGAACAGAAGAACAATGTCATCAACCCAGTCTGAGCTCCAACACAAAGCTTACATACGGTATGACTCCTAGAGGAACAGGGTGGCAGAGGAGCTGGGGAAAGGTAAGTACAAGTAGGTAAAATAGGTGGCCTAGTAACAGACTCTATCACTTTGCACTAAATAAGCAGTCTTTCTAAAGTCAACCTGGGAGGACAGAAATATGGAAGTTTCCACTGCCAACTTGTGTGGGCTCCAGGGCTTTCTTCCTGACTTCAATAATATTCTGATGTGACCTGACCTGGAACAAGAGAGTTTAGGCTTTTCAGACTTCAATGACTCTATGCTTGTTACAGGTCATTGACAGACATGATAGTACAGCGAGGATTATGATGACAGTCCTGGAGCTTATGACAGCTCCCTTAATTATATCCTGTACGTGTACACTTGACTTCTCTATCAAAAACTCTGTGGGGAGATTTAACCGGCAATATTTCCTGGCCCTTCACCATAGTGTTTTGAGCACTCCAGCCTTGGGGTGTTACCACTCCTTTAAATTCCTTCTCTGTTACATAAAATAAAATTACAACAGCAAGAGCGGGACTTCTGTGTATGGTTTGTGGCAGCACAACAAGGAACTCGTGTGAATATTTCTCACTGTTGGCTGGTTTAACTCCCCAGCATCTGCCATAAACAGGAATATACTTTTTGGGTGGACTGACCCTTTAAGAGCTAGCAACAAAATATTGACAGACATAAACTGCCCTTTATTACACTAAAAATGCTAAAATGTTTTACTGGTTCCTTATAAACAAGATGCATTCTGGTATTATTTTACAATATCAATACAGCCTTTACTAATGTTTTTGTGTCTCGGATGTCAATGGCTGATTTCATGAAGGTATGTACAGCATACAAATGGTTGCTTCATAGTGTTTAGGCAATGGGTGATCTGAATCTTCCTGCAGCTCCATAGCTCTCAGAAACAATTGGCAATGAGATCTGTAGACCTCAGTTCTCAACTCCACCCACTTGCCATAACCAACCCAACAAGTCTCCATCTACCCAAATAATTATTGAAAGTCAAATTAGGGAGACTGCAATACAGATTAAAGTGCATGTCCAGCCAAAACCCTTTTTATTAGTGTTGGAGAGTGGGGAAGGGTTAGGCTATCTGTTGGGTTTTAACTGCTACCCAACGTTTCTATAGAAAGATGTACCCTCGCTTTCTGACCTGCTGACAACATTTTACCAGAAAGGCAAAGTAAAAATGATTTATTTAGTAGAGAAGATTTTCAGATTTGTATTTCCGTCTGTATCCCTGTTGCAGATTTTCCCTCACTTCCTGTCTGGGGAAACCATTGTCAGCAGGGCAGGAAGTGAGGGGGAAATCTCTGTAATAGAGCTTGGATAGTTGTAAAAGCCAAAGAGAGGTTCTAATACTTCCCCATTCTATCAAAGACTTTTGGCTTGAAATAGCCTTTAAGGCTCCTTTAGTTACAATAACTGGGTCTAAGCTTGGATGTCCAATGGAGGGATGTTACCTCCACAGCCCCTCCTCTCCCCCCAAAAATCTAATAAGTTATCCTTTAAACCAGGGGTATAAGCATAAGTTAAAACGACCCTTTAGTTATAAAAGATGATTTAATCCAGTTTATTTGAATCTGTAGAATAAATGATGTTGAAGGGCTCAAGAGATAACATAAAAAAAGTCGAATAGTCTAACTGAAGAACAATGTAGATGTAAAAGACCAAATATCAGAATAATGGAGTTACAAGTAAATGACGTAACACAGAAATAAACTAGTACTGTACATATAAAGCAGAACTGAGAATATGTATTAAGCGAAAAGTCCTATCTTCCACAATATTGCTGTAAATACACTGTTATTGTATTGATAGTTTATTTCTCTGGTAGAAAACGGCGGGTCATGTTTATTAATATATAAGAATTCTCTTTTCCAAAGCACTCAATTAGGTTCTGCCTTTTTTAATATCTGAACTGGAAACAATGTTATCTGCAATCTGATTGGTTGCTTTGCTACGACATAGTTCCAATTTTATATATTTTATAAATGCGGAACAAAATTATTTTAGAAACAACTATTGTATTTAGTTGTTGCTGAAGTAAGTATGTTGACCCGTAGGTTGCTGGCTGATGCGTTTCACAGCTTAATAAAGTTAAAGAAATAATATTATACCTGTCACCCAATAAGATAGCTTTAAGTCAGTGTTACCTTAAAAAGTGATCGGTCATTCCTACATAGCAAAGGCAGACGTTTTGAGATTAAAGGGGAACTCCAAACACTAAAAATAAATCTGGCACATGAGCATATGCAGGCACAGCTCCAGTCTTCTTATCTTCCTCCCCAGAGCGGGGGTCACAAGTACAATGCTGGAACACAGTGGCTATTGGTCCTGAATTCTGCGTGATGCTATCTTCGACCCAACCAGAAAACAAGAGTGGCTTTTGTGGACTGATCATCACTACCGGAATGGGTGGCGACAAATCCTTCAGGACCATGGATTAAAGTAAGTATTCCTCTCTATTATATTGCCCCTAGATAAAACAAGTATTATATCTTTTTATATGCTTTGGGGACAGTCAGATTTAATGCTTTGGTCAGGCTGGATTTGAACTTAAAGGAGAACTATGGGGTCAGTGTTTTTCCCCATAGTTCTCCTTAGGGTAAAGGGAGGACACAAACTAGCGTCCTCCCGTTACCCTAAGCTCAGTATACCGCGAGCTACAGCTCGCGGTATACTGAGACGCCGGAGCGGATCCCGACATGGACGTCGAGATCCGCCCAGCTGCGTGAGTGACAGCTGGCTCTGCCTATCTAGAGTACCCGCCCCCTCCGTTCCGCCAGTCAGCGCTGGCAGATCGGAGCGGGGAGAGGGGAATCCAGCCCCTCCCCCTGTCACGACAGAGAGCCGTGACAGGACCGAGAGGTGAGCGAACCCAGTATGTGTTCGCTCACCTCCCGATCTACTGAGCCGACCTGTGACAGTCTCATTGTCACAGGTCGGCTAGAACTATGAGGTGAGTGGAAATCACTCATCTCATAGTTCTCCTTTAAAGCAATCAGTGTTTTTAAAAAAACACCTTGACCTGTAAAGAAAACCCATGCTTTGCCCATGCAGGGCATAGCAAAAAGTTCAATTTAATGCAGCCTCAGTAGCACATAGTACCCCCTTTTCTCTGCCCCAATGCTGGGAGATGAGGACCCCCCATATAAGTTACCATTGGCCAAGCACTGTCACATGTAAAGTACAGGGTATTTCCTTTAGCTCCCCATGCTCAAGCAAGCAGCAGAAGAACTAGAAAAGGTCATTATGTGCTGGGGATACATGGGGGATCAAAGCAAACCTGTAGCTTTGCCCTAAATGGTAAAGCACAGGTTTGCCTTACAGAAGTATTCCACTAGAAGTGCCTATACCAGGCTTCTAAGCCCATACTGACAGACCCTCAATTTTCAATATTTTGGGGATTCCTAAAAGGAAGCCCTGAATAGGGTGTCTTGTCTATCATATGGAATTAGATAATGCGATCCAACTTTGGCTGCCGTTAACTGACTGCAAACTACATCCATGACAGTACTAGAATTAGAGTAACTGGCAAACATTCTGGAACTTGGCACAAAAAGAATGTTATAAAAACTACTGAGATGGCACTACAAACTTTTTTGTTGTGGCATTTATGGAATATTTGGTCAAAGTAAACAACTGGCCTTATTTACCAGTGAATGCTAAGTGACACTCCATATCACTCATAGCCGCCAATCAGAATCTTCTTACAGTTAACCTGATTGGTGGCTGCTGGTAACTCTGTTCTTATTTAGAACCTGGTGTAAAAACAGGCAGATTCAATTGTCTGTAACAATGTATCTGAAGGCTCCTTGTATACAGCAGCCAATTAGAATCCTTATTTTATTGGTAGAATGAAAAAGAGATTGATTAGTGGCTATGGGTAGCACACCCTTCATTACTCTTTAGAGTGGTACATGTCTAGAACTAGAAGTATGGCCAAATACATATCTTGATTCGATTCTAAATCAGTTTAGCTCAGTCCTTATTTAGTATTATATCACATATAAAGATCTGAAAGCAAATCTTTTTCCAACCCAAAAAAATGAATGTCCGTCTGCAGAAACATTATCATTACCCAAGAACCTTTACATACCTCTTCTTATATATTCACACCTTATAGTGACACAGTTTCCATATTTGTGGTGACAGAAGACAATGTAACATTTGTGGCGTGCCTTTTTTGCTGTTTGGCTTTTCCAGTTTAGTAAAAGGGTTTCACTCTGGTGAGTTAAAGCATGACACCATACCCTAGAAAGATGATGTATTGTGTAGTAAAAATTAAGTCCTGCTCTGGATATGGGAGATTTCGAGTACTGGAAGCAGTAGCTGGAAAGCATCTTGAATATAGGAAGCGCTGTTTGAGGCCTACAAATAGGAAAGACAAATGATGCAGGTACATCAGTTCAGGAACTTTGCTTATAAAAGTCAAAATTAAGATTGTACTGGTACAAAAAAATCAGATTACAAAAAGGTAATAGTAGAGTGTCAATTTGTTCTTGTAGTTCTAGGTGGTATTGGAAAGAAGTGTTATCCTATACTTTTTTACCAATATAAATAGAAAAACACCAGTATATGAATGGCGGGGACTGAATATTGGAATAACACTTCAGAGTAAAGTATAGTAAGTTAAGAATAACCAAAAACTTATACAAAAGGGACTTCTTTGCTTCCAAACACACAAACTTACCTCCTATTGTGTTATAAAATATTTAACGGTTGGATACATGTTATTCAGTTTTAAACCAGAAAAGAGTACAATAACTATCATCTAGAAATACTCCTATTGGCAGCAATAAGTAACATGCGAGTATGTGAATTCAGAAAAGGAATAATTTCCCAACTATAAATTGACTCACCTCTAGAAACACTCCTGTAATTAATGGGTTCAGGATGTCTGACTTCTCAGATGCCTAGAAAGAAGAGAAAGGACACAGAGCTTGGTAATAATGTACAATGTCCCTGTATATTTGCTGTTTCCTGAACAGCCAGTCAGAACTCCCTGACCTACTTATCTCATGGGCTGTATGCAATGCAAAGCTTTCAGTGATTGGGCATTTAGATATCTAGAAAACCGCCAATCACAGACTTTCCATTTTCCTAAATGATATACTGTCAGTAAGCTGACACTCTCAAGTGTATTACATCCTATTTGAATCCTCATATTTATATGGACTATTACACACTAGAGCCCAGAAGCTGATTTACGAAACAAGGAAAACCGGGCTTCTCCCTCCTTTAAGCATTAATTTACATTAAAATGAACTGAAGCACATAGATTCAGTCCAGTTGCTATGTGTAACATCTCCAGTTTTCATATAATGTATTAGAAGTCTAGCAATGGAACACTGAGCTTTGTTGATTGGATAAACGGAACACTGAATCTCAACCGATAGGACAGATTGAGTAATTTTGTATTGGGTTCGTGGTGAATTATCCCTCCCATTGCACACCACCCATGCCGGTTTTACACTGATTTAGAGGCTGTGATTTTTTTTCTGTTTCTACATGAGAAGTCAGTTGTGTTTCCTAGTTCTGGGATGCATCACAGGGAGGACTGGAGTCCCAAGTAACATTGCTCTCAATTAACGATAGTTGTGCCATGTATATGGTAATCTACAGTTTATCTATTTCCCTAATCCGAATTATTAAGTCTCCTTAATAGTAAAGTGTAGCATTGTTAGTATGTCATAGGAGGACAACACTTACCCCAGCTGTTGTCAGGAGGGTGGTAATTTTCTTTGAAAGCTGAGAGATCTCTTTGCACAATGAAATGGTCATTCTAAAAATAAACAAGTCAACAGAACAAGTATAAGACTTTGTCACACAGCAGCAATGATGACCAACAATCACTTAAAAAACATAGCTACTCGTGCTCGTTTCCCAAAAACATCTATTTATTTTTAAAGGAGGTTCTTCCTGAGAAAAGATGCCTATGGCAACCTGCATGAAACTGTATTAACACACAGACTTCAGAGCAGTGCTGAAGAGTTGGAGGTCTGAAATTCTTCAGAAGCTCACTCATTTTACAGAACAATTTACTATATAAAGCCCCTTCAAACCCTTCTTTACAGTTATTGCCCTTTTTGTCTTCTTCTTCCATATCGCTGTATGTCCTTGCCTATCGCAGATTAAATCTCTTCCTCGCACAAACCTCACTTCTTAAACCTCTTTAGCTTGCCTTCGACCATACATAATTGGTAGAAAAGTGACCAATGTCCTCAAAAGAGCCAAAACAATAAGTGACTCTTCCCTGTTTCTCCTTGACCTCTCCTCTGTATCTGACAAGGGTTATCACTCTCTGCTTTTGCAAAATCACATGCAAATCACCTGACATTTGAGACTCTTGGTTATCTTTATTCTTTCAAACACGAAAAGTGGCGCGATCACCCAAAGAAGCAAACAAATAATGTGTACAAAATAAACCAATTGTGGCAATACTGTGAATGAATATTACATTTCAACGTTCTAATCGGCCCCTTGTGTAGAATTAGAAGATTGAAATGTAATATTAATTGACAGAAGTATTGTTTTATTGTCACAATTGGTTTATTTTGTACACATTATTTGTTTGCTTCTTTGGGTGATACGCTTACGTGTTTGAACGATACTGATGCAGCCAATTTAAGTGAGCAGCTGTCAGGAGGAACGCCGAGTAATTTAAAGTCATCGAGCGCAGAAGTTTTTATACAATTTTTTTAATACTTTTTGGACTGTTCTTTCAAGGTCCTCAAAGTCTTTAGACCATTACTTTTTTTTTTTAATCACCATTAGACGGTGGATTGATGGAATTAGTAGTCTGAACAATAAAGATAAGGTTCTTTGTGCTTTCTTTTAGCTCACATGGTCACAGGGTCACTGCATTTCCAGCAAGATCAACAGGCATTTTCTGTACTTGCTAAAAATGTTCTTAGCATGAAAAAAAAAGAAACTATTGTAACCACCACATCTAAGGACTGGAAAGCTACAATATATTAAATTTTATTTTTTAATTGAAAAATACATCTCTCCTTCTATTATTTTTCATAGCTCAGTCAGCTAACACCTGCTTCTTATCCCATGCTTCTGTGCGCAGTATAAGCTGCAGGTGAGACTTCCTCTTCAAGGTACACTTCAATTTTATTTCTCAACAACAACACATCCTTTCATAAGTGAAATATCGCCACAATAAGCCCTTTCTTATCTCAACAGACCACCAAAGGCCTTGTTCCTTGCTCTGACATTGACTACTGCAACCTCATTCTACACAATGTTCCACTCACAAGACTCTCAACCCTATAATCTATTCCTACAACAAGATTTCTCTCTCTACCATCATTTCTCATCTACCATCATGTTCAGTCATTCTCTCCACAAGCTTCCAATTAACCTGCAAAAACAATTCAAGCGGTGGTGCTTTACCTTCAAAACTCTGAAGAACACATACATGTACATACCTGACTTTTCTGACCTCATACACAAACTACTCTCTCTGCTCCTCCAGTGATCTGATAATTTCCTCTACAATAATAATCCAAATCACAAGATTTTTTGGGTGCAGCCCTGTTCTCTGGAATTCCATACTCAGTTATATTGGACTAGTCTCTACCCTTAGAACCTTTAAATAGAAATCCTCTAAATCTACAACTTCTGAATTCCTTCTCTCTAACCCAAATAATCATCACCATATAGAAAGCTCCAATCTCCTGCAGGCACAGCCATCTTTCTTTAACCAATGTGTCTATTTCCCTACTGCTTTGTTTGTAAGTTCCATGCAGGCTGGGTGCTCTTCTACTCCTGTATTATAGCTATGCAATTGGTATTCTCTGGGTTGTGTAACTTGAATTAATGTATGTATTTATTCAATCATGCATAATATCATGGTGCTGTAAAAATAAACAATAATAACAAGATGATACGCCTGCAGCTTCCAAAATCTGTTGCAAGATATTCAGTACTGCATTGCAGTCACACTCCGGCTGTACACATGGCCTCAATCAGGAGTGCTTGAATAGAGATCAGAACATTTATTTACAGGGTTATTCACAAAAGGGTGAAGAGCTTTGAGGAGGCAGGAGAAGAGAACAATCTAGGACAACATAGCTGAACTGGAAAGTGAGCTGAATTGGAGAATGTTTCCAAATCAACTATTTTGTACTCGATTTTGTTCACTTCTCCTGCCTTCTCCAAACTCGTCACCCTTTTGTGTCTAATAACCCTGTTAGTGTCTGTTCAAAGGTTTGTCTTGCTATATGTCTGGCTACTTTATGCTGGTGGATTATTTTTCTGAATCAACTCAAACTCTCGGTTACGACTTTCGTCTGCCCTGGCCTTGGGTTTTTCCCTGACTACATTTGCCTGCCTGAACTCCAACCTGTCCGAAAACATGCCTTGTGATTCTGTAGTGTGTTTAGTTATCTGTTACCCTCCAGCTACACAGAAATCCACCGCATTCCCTGACACAAAAGCTGTGCAAATCTCTATTTGTATCCAAAATAGCCAAATTATGTTCAGAAAAAAACTGTAACCCTTTCTGTGCAAATTTAGTTTAGTTTTCATGCATCAAACTGCTAAGACTTATGTGGAATAATCTGTATTTTTAACTCCTGTGTGTGGCTTTTGCTCCACGGAATTAGAAAAACTAATTCTCAGGTTTACAATTGCTTGGTTTGCTGCTTTTCTGACTGAACGGGTCTGCAGGCTAGGGAAGTAAAAAATTGTAAAATGGCTTCCGTAAATTAAGCAATGTGGCATTTTTTTTTTGCAAAAAACAGTGATGCGCTTATACAGAGGAAGAGGCCAATATTATAAATAATTATACTAATCCGGCTAATTTCCTTCTACAAGTTGCAGTTCCATTGCTTTATAAATGTGGCACATTCTACACAGAAATCAATAATGAAAGGGACAGTGAATTCACTGCAAACTGTTATAAAAAGGCTGGCAACTGTGTTACTTGTGTGCTACTGTATAAAAGCAAAATCAATGTCAGGTTGCAATACTGTGACTAAGATACCTGATCCAAATACTTACTGTGAGAGAGCCTTGCCCCGGGATACTGCTGCCACATTGGCATCCCCATGCAGGATTAATGTGGCTGTTTTGTGGAACACTTCCATAGAGCAAGCCGTCAGCTCTGCCAGGCTCCGGATTGCTGATTCATGTATATCCTGATACAAAATAAAACGTTCACTGAGTTAAAGCAATATATTTGCATTTGACTTCTAACCACACTGTAGTAAGTGACAGCTCACCCGCTGTTCATTTTGTTAAAGATCAGATAAGGTGTCTGTGATAGATGTTGGATAGAGCAGAAAAAGGCAGGAAAGAACATAAACATCTACACTACAATTAACTTTAATTTGGGTATAATAAACCCACCCGTTTTAGTGAACATGCTTGATACAAGGGGCCTCAATTGGGGTCACACATAATATATAGTATATTTAATACTACAGAAAAATGGTCTGGAACTTGACACACTGTACACAAGCTGCAGTTGTGGTTGGAGATTAGGGACATGCTGCAATAGACTGTCAGAGACTGGGCACACACACAACAGACTGCAAGAGATCACTGCCATTAGAGAAATGATTGAAAGGAAAGACACATACCACACTTGAAAAATAAGTTAGGCAACTTAGCAGCAAATAAGCACATGGTGTATTTTTTGTCTTGAGATACCTCCACAGTGTACTTCTGGTCAGCCTCCTCCTGGAGGTCAGTATTTTCCTCCTTTGCCGTCACCTTCTTCTCTCCTTCCTCCACTTTACTTATCCACCTGTATGCAGCTTTCCGTGCCTGAAACAGAAAGAGATGACAGCTCATGAAACCAATTCAAGGAAGCAGGAATAAATCAAGAGGTTAACTGAGGAAACTAGGCTGGGAGCCCAGAGGGTCCGTTTGGAAAGAGATTAACTATATCCCGAGAGCACAAAGCTCCTGTGACGGTTTTAATTGAGTCAGCACAAAATGATAAATGAAGTGGGCTCTCACAGCGGCTAAAACATAGGAAGAAATATCAGAAGGAGGATGCTGCCACCTAGTGGACTCACTGGAGCCAGACGAGTTACCCCAGATCAAAAGGTACTCACAGTTTTAGGGCCTTATCACACTTTTCCAGTAATGCGAGTTTTGGATGCATGTTACTGCTGCACATTCTAAACACAATTATGAACTCATTATTAGCCAACATGTGCTTTTATATGCCTTTGTTCATTGTGTAAAAAAGGAGAGGTTATATGGATTTTCCGCGATGCAGGTGTTTCCACGGACCCATATACTAAAATCCAAGAACAAAAGCTTATTATATTGCGGTTTACCAGTCCTTAGATGTGGTGGCTGCATTTGTTTTCCAGGCTTCTTCACTTTATTTTCAGCTGTTAATCCAGCCAGTAACACACTGTGCCCTAGGCTGGTGCTCCTGGTTTGGACTACACATGCAACATGTTCTGTTATTTGAAAAACCCGCTACAGACCATGGATTTGAACCTAGCACATCCAAATGAATGAGATTTTTATTTAGAATGTATTTTCATGCAGTAAACCAAATGCACATTATTTTCTGTAGCAAAACAAAAAAGTGTAAAAACTGACCCTTACGCTTAATGTAGAATAGAAGCACCAAAGAAAATAGGTATATGAAGGCGTTGTGAGAACTTGAAGGCACCAGCACATATCTGTGTTTCAACTGCAGAGTACCCATGACTTTGCAGTACAGAGTGTTTGATATGCAAATAGTGTCTTTCAAGCTTAGAAATTCAGAGCTCTTCCTGCCCCACTGCAAGACACCTCTTCACTGGTTAGAGATATAAGTGCATTGCATTGAAGGATGTTGCCACAGCTCTGATCTGGCACTCTACAGCTTAAACAATGGGACACGAAGGCATCTTGACCTGCCTGCTATCAATGGTCAGTTTAATGACTTTAAAATCAGTTCTGCATTAAAATAACCCTTGTGCAGTCTAAAAGGTATTGCACTGCATAGCAGATCTATGATGAACTCTTCACTCATTTGCTGTGAAAATCATGCCCCCTACATGTGCCAAGAGTCCCTAGCCAAGTTCTATAAGACCACACTTCTAAAAAAAAAAAAAATTGCGGCAAATGAACGCATGGCAACTTCAATGCAAATAAATATAGATGACAAAAAAATTATCTAATTTAGGAACTTGATGCAATATTAAAGTGATTGTGACCAGTATTAGTCTCAGTATATATATCCAGGAAATGCACTTACATTTGTCAGTTTCTCTGGTCTCATGGAGATTTGTAAGTCTTGAAACAAAACTGATAACTCTTGAATGAAGTCCTGGTCAGCTGTTAGAAGAGGAAAGTTAGAGAAGAGGCCAAGTCTCCAGGCACATAGTGAATAGAATTGTAAACAATGGAATGCACATAGGTTACATTCCAAGGGTTCCAAAGGGAACCCTTGGAAAGCTCCTGAAATAAAGTACTTGAAAGCTCCTGGAATAAAAAGGGTGTAGTGAGTGTTCATCCTACATATGTAGTGCATTGCTGACAGAAGAGCATTTACAGTGCAAGCCAAATGGAACCAGGGTAACATGGTCACTATATGCTCCTCTGCATCCAGTGTCCATGTAAAACAAATATATGGCTTGGCCGTGGCCATACCCATGCTTTACAAAATAAAAACTGCACATTTATAAGGCACAGTGACATGCTTTACAAATGTGATTCACTTTGCTTTGGGACTCCAAGCAAACAAAGCTCCATTTATTCCAAAGAATAAAAAAATATAGGCCAGGACAGGAAATTCCTGGCCCTGGCATCTCCTCCACTCATGGAATGTTCCTTCTAAATGGCACCTCAATAAACCTACAGATTCCAGCTATGCTACAACGCACCACAACACATTATACGCATTGTACTGGAAATAAAATGAACAGGAGGATTTTTTCCTGCTTTGGGGCCCATTGAAAAAAATAAAGTGTGATGCAGCGCACTGCAATGCAATAAAGTGTGAACAGGCCCTGAATGTATAGTGAATCTGGGAATCTGGCCTTACATACGGGGGAATTTATCAAAGCAATTGCGGCAGTTTTAGCCTGCAAATCTGTTTAGCCGCTCCTTTTAACATGTGCGCCTGTTTTGACCAGAGCTTGCTCTATTTTCCCGAGTGTGCGTGTTTTGCGAAACTTTGGAACTATTTACTTCTGTGCTTGTCCTGCGGCTGTTTGAAACTGGCGCATCACCTAACAAAATAATTGCAACTTAAGTCGTCCCCATGGCCACTTCTTCAAGAAGCGACAGTTAAGCTTTTTGCCTGGAGTTACGAGTCTTCTTTTCTGGAGTCTATTTAATCTCATTTATGAACAACATTACACTAGCAACATAAATCTGGCGCAAAGTGCGTCAAATATATTCCGTGCAAGCTCGCAATTGCTATGATAAATTCCCCCTATGGTGTTTAGTGTGGATTTCAATGTGAAAGGCCAAGGAACACAGACAAATAATAAACTCCTTAGTCACATGGTTCTGCTTTAATTATAGAACAAGCTCAGCTGCTGCAGAAAATAATGGTGATGTAACCTCATCTAGATTACTATCTATCTGTGTAAATAAGAAAAAAACACAAATTAAATGACAATGTAGAAAGCAGCAGAATGAGCCAGTACAGATTGGGGATCCACAAGATAAGAATGATCATGGAACACTGAGGTGAGGGGAGTCCAGAGGTGCAGCTTCCAGCTTTGATCTAATATTAACACCGATCTCCAAATGTTATCCTGCTCTACAAGTCCCAGCCCTCATGCAGGATGTCTAATCCCAGTCTAATCCTCCCTTGTCTGGTCTGCACAGCTCACTTCCTAAACCTCTCTGATGTTTTATGAGAACTTTAAAATAAATAAAAAAATTCCTTTGAACGGTTATAATTTATAACAGCACAAAGAATGTCACATTAAAATCATTTTACTGGCAGCCATTATAATTGGTTGACAATTTACCATGTACTGTTAAAGGCCACCTGTTCACTACAAGCAATGGATGGATCAACTTTGTGGGCTGCCCCTTTGGAGCAATTACTGTGAGCAAAGTGGTGAAGCTGCTCCCACAATGTGTGTGGCTGTTTTGGGTTATAGTTCGTCAAAGTATTTGCTGATAGCATCAGGAAAACATTAGAAATATATATGATATTACACTTCTCACGTTGATGGCACCTGGTGAGAATAGTCACCCACACCAGTTTGAGAAACTTGGTTGGTCGCTATTTTTTACCCACTGAGACAAGTATTCTCCCTGCTTTAGTCAATAAACATGGGCACTGTGCTCAGTGACATGTTTGTAAGACAACCCATGTTTTGATGCTGCTAAATTTGGTCCAGGCACCTCACTTTTTAACTGGTCATTAAAGGGTAAAGTTTTATATTTATACAAAATACGCTGTTTGATTAAGAATATTTTTTTTTGGTTACCCTTGGCAAATTCTTCCCCAATGCAATAAGCCTTTCTAGACTTTCTAGGTCATTTGCCCCCTCTCATCACCTATCAGAAGTGCAGGAACCTTGGGGTGCCTGCAAGTACCTGAGTTAGTCATCAAGTTGATCCCCATAGAGACCCTTTAAATTATAGTCCCAGGGTGTAAATAAAGTTTCATCTTATTTGAATTTGACCTCAAAGTCATGATTAGGGGGCCCATTCACACAACCTCCTCCATTCGCACAAGAACACTGCACCATAAAGGGGTCTAAACGTATAAGTGCATTTTGTTTTAAATTGCACTTATGCTTTAACAGCTGAATGAAGAGGGTGGAACTCTGTCAATGCCAGGGAGGGATGGAGTTTACTCTAGACTTAAGAAGAAGTCAAATATCTTCAGCAGCTTAGGCGTAGGATCTGAGGAGGCTCCATGGAGATTGATCTGATACTTGCAGACACCACAAGGTCCTTGCACTTCAGCACTGGTGTTTTTCTTACAAACGTTTCAGGAGAGATAAGCTTTACTATATCACCCTCCACTCTGGCTCCCCTTAGCACCAGTCTGTGACCCAGATCTGCTGTACACCAGGTGTATGCAGACACACACAATTCGGAAAAATTACCCTTCTCCACTTCCTCATCATCATCAAATTCTTCCAATGAGAAAACTTCCTTTAAGGATTCCAACTCCAGTTTGAGTTTTGCAAGCTCTTCTCCTGACAGAGCACCAAAGATGGACTTTACCTGGGAATAAAAAAAACAGTATATACGGTAAATATTACAAAAACGAATACATAAAAGAAAAAAAAAAGAAAAAACACAAAGCGACTCCGTGAGGCCAGTAAAATACGCAAAACAACTGCTAAGGCCAATTAGATACACTGCAATTGTGCAAAATGCAGCAAGTCCACTCTGTTTAACTGTAACATGACTTCTAGGCCTTTTGGCTAAGATCAAGTGTAGTATCTGTTCTTATCATCAGTTGTCGGTGGAAGAACGACACCACTCCTTTTCAAGGGAGAAGGATGGTGGCTTGGTATTTACCGGCGTAATTGGTAGGTGTCAGATGGGGTACAGTCCCTCCTGGTTAGATTCTGGTCCAGTTATGCTGGACTTGTCACCGGTGGTAGGGATGGATCCTGGACGGCACTACCTTCTGATGGGAATGGATACAAAGCTTGGTCAGGCCTGGAGGGTTGGGAGGCGGCAGAGCCCGTGGTGTTGTGCCCCCTGGGGGTGGCGTCCCAGGGGTGCTCAGAAAGTCACTTGGGTGTGGGACCCCACATTGACTCACTGATGCACTTGGTCACACACCACCTTGCAATTTCTGCACATCGCCTCTTGGACAGGCCTTATGGCTAGTCCGGGGCAATATTTTTGCACTCCGGCCCCCAGGGGGTCGGGAATCGAGGTCCCGTCTTTATTGAAGGACCAAGCACCCTTGTGCACGTTTTTGTGTGCTGTGATTTCACGGTTCACTTTTTTTGTTCACGGGGGAAGTTTGTTTTTGATGCACGTCCACGGGCTCTTAACAAAAAACAAAAAAAAAGACTTCTACATAATGTACTACATTCAAATTCAGCAGGTCTTTCCTGGTGGTATTGGGTGGGCCTGCAGCTTCCTGTCAATTGATTATGTGTTACGCACTACTGAGGACCACAAGCAGTGGAGCTCAACCAGCAAACATGTATATTGCACATTCACAGGTTCAAAATTCAGGGTTGAAAAAAATGTTGGATACCATAGAGATTTATTGAGCAGGATAGGCAAATGCTCAGGATAATAGCCAGGAGGAAACTTGAATGGCACCCGGTGGCTATAGGCTATACCTTCTGAGAAAGTTAAACAGAACATGATGACATTGAAGAACATAATGAAGGATCATGTTTGATGTTGGTGTCCCATTAAGCTGGTCATACATGCCCATATGTATATGTAAAGTGTATGTCTGGGGGGAAAAAAATAAAATTTCCGTACATCTCTGCAACGCATGCATATTTCTTCATGTCGTTTCTCTTTAAAAACACTGCAAGTATAGAAAAATACCACGTGAGTATGACAACGCTGTCCCTGCTGCACTGAAATCCCAAGTAGTGTTGTCAGCCCTGTCTCCCCTGTACTGAGAATTACTGAGAATGTTAACAAAGAAGGCTTATGAGGATGAGGAGAGGGGGAGGCGGTGATGTCATCACATACTTTTGTAGTCCAGCAACGAAGAACTCAGCCATGACTGACAAAACAGTTTGGGATTTTAGTGCAGCAGAGACTTGTCAGCTCAAACAGGAAGATGGGAGCTCACAAGCTTTCTGTCAGGCTCACCAGGTATTTTTATGTACTTGCAGCATTTTAAAAAGTTAAAACATTGGGAAATTGACATGTATTGCAGAGATTTTCTTTGCCCAGACAACCACTAACACTGTCTGACCTGACCACAATCCATTTTTTTTTTAAAACAAAAGTGTCCATAAGGATTTAAACGTACGGATCTAGTGGGAGATAGATATAGTCATTGTATTAAATCTGTTTCCCCAGCTACATATTAAAAAAAAACTAAAAAACTATTGTTTTTACGATTCCCCATACTGAATTATATACGCTTTAGGAGTGTTTAAGTAATTTCATGTACAGACTGCAGAGACTGAAACAGCAACTTAGGGAACCTACCTTCCCCTCACTTTCCTTGGACAACAACTCTAAGGCCTCCAGATGGGACAGGCCCTGGTACTCATCAAATAACAGGCCGTAGTGCGCTCGTCGATCTGTCTCTGTAGTAACTTCGCCGATGACGCGCTGCTCTTCTTTCTCTTTCGCTTCCCTTAAAACCTAAAAAAACATCAGAACAAATAATGTAGAGTGACGATCCATGGTAGAAATGCCAGTAAAATGCTTCTTTAAATACAGAATTTGAGTTATAATTAAAAGGAGAACTATGGGGGTCAGGGCTTTACCACCATAGTTCTCCTAAGGGTAACGGGAGGACACAAACTGGCGTCCTCCCATCACCCAAAATCAGTATACTGCGAGCTACAGCTCGCGGTATACAGACACGCCGCAGCCAGGGCGGATCCCGACAATACTGTCTGGATCCACCCAGCTGCGTGATTGACAGCTGGCTCTGCCTATCCAGAGGCAGAGCCAGCTGTACATGCCCACGTCGGTTACGCTAGTCAGCGCTGGAGGATCGGACAGGGCAGGGGGGGAATCCTTGCAGGGAGCCGTGAGTGACAGTCAAGGCTCTCTGCACGGATAGATCGAGAAGTGAGCGAGCGACGGTATGTGTTCGCTCACTTCCCGATCTATTGAGCCGACCGGTGACAGTTTCATTGTCACAGGTCGGCTATAACTATGAGGCTGAGTGATTTTCACTTGTCTCATAGTTCTCCTTTAACTCTGTATTTATACATGTTAATTGTAACGGTCAAAAATTGACAGAAAGACTTATTCAATAAGGCGCACAATTGTTACTCATGGTAATCTCATTTGAATTTGTTTTAGTTAGGTGGTTAATCATCTGATTGGCTGACATTGGGTACACAATGCCCTTCATGACTGCTAATTGCACTACCCTTATGAATTAGCCTGAAAGTATTTCCACTTTTACAGCCAAATTGGGATAACACCTACTTTATATTTGTTAGATGTTCCCATAAACATTGCATACTTTACAAATAAAATAAAAAAATTGCTGCTTACCTTTTTACTCTTTTCTAATAACACTTTAAAACTGAAGGTTAACCCTGCTATGTTAAGGGGGCTTGAATGTTAATGTTTACCATGATGAACCCTGTCTGTACTATGCTGGCAGATCTCATTATCAGTAAAGTATATCTGAACACTGCCTGTCCTAACAAAGGGTTAAAAGGGGCCTGTGTTCTGTCCCCAGTTTGTCCCTCCGCTCTCACTTTTAAATTGTTCAGCTTGTAGCCTGGCCATCGGCATGCTCGAGTGAAACAACTAGAACGGTAAGAAATCTTTTTTTGTTTTTATTATTCTTTTATGCTGTGTGAATGGGAACACATAACAAATATATAGTGGGATATAGTGTAACTGCAAAAGTGGAAATACCCTTAAAACCTACAATAAACTGTATAAGCCCCTTTGAACTCCCTTTAGCAGCTAATCTTTAGATCGCTATATTTAATACAATGACAAAAAAAACGTAAGGAATAGCAAGCATGTAAAAAGCCACATAAATATTTTTATGGTAAACACTGCAATAATATTTACTCACTGGAAATACACTATACTTTTCCGTTCTGGAATAAATACATAAATTAAATTGCGCTTAACATAATTGTATAGATCTGTTCAGCTTATTTTCTTTTTAGTTACTAGCAGACTAGTATTAGTCGCCTGTGACTCCAACATATTTACAGTGGCTGTAAACGTCATGGCTTACATGTGACAGTGTAGTGTTCCTGTGCATAAGTCCTTTGGTCTTTTTGAATCCTGGATCTCCTTCTGCGATCACGTCCATTGTCTTTTTCCCAATGAACTCCAAAGCGTCCAAGCCTCCTGTAATAACAGTCTTCCCCTAAACAACAGCATAACAATTACAACAAGGTACATTTCGGGTTAAAAGAGAAGCCGTGCTGCAGCTGGGAAAGATCTTGACAATTTTGTGTCTAGATTGGTAAATGGTATCTACAGTATAATTAGATATAAGTATATCATATTATAAGTATATACTCATTTACTCACTTGTTATCGCTCGTGTTGACTATTGAAACTCCCTCCTCATTGGCCTACCAACTCCCTCGTCAACTCCTCCCATGCTCGCCTCCAGGACTTCTCTAGAGTCTCTCTCATCCTCTGGAACTCTTTACCCCAACCTGCCCAACTATCTCCCACTCTGACTGCCTTTACACGATCTCTGAAGACTCATCTCTTCAGGGAAGCCTATCCCACCTCAACCCAACCACTCAACCATCACGCACGTTCTCAAACAATTCCTCCCCACACAGCTACCTCCTCATGTATCACTTGCCCCTCCCTTTTAGATTGTAAGCCCTCACAGGCAGGGCCCTCCTTACCATCTTGTCTTGAATTGTATTGTGACTGTAATGTCTTCCTTATATTGTAAAACACAGCGCAAACTGTTTTGCGCTATAGAAATCCTGTATAATAATAATATCTAAAGCTAAAACTTTTTTTTTCCTATTTTGGAAAGATGGATGGATAAAAGTTTGGATTTGCCATCACTTTCTATCTCAGTAACAATGGTCAGCAGGAAAAATAGAGAGAGCGAATCTCCCCAATGGGGTCACAGAAAGCAATAAAAACCTGACAGGGTTTCTAACTGTTTTCTGCTTATTCCAGCACAAAAACATATTGGTTATAGATACACTTTAAATGCAGTTTGAATCAGCATTAGACCTATCTTGTAGTAGGTAATGTAAAGAGACTTACTGTACTCTGCACAGCAGTGGAGATACTGGAGAGGAAGCCCAGAGCTCCTGAAATCGGTGACGAGGTCTCACCCTCTTTGGACTCGGCACTCTCTCCGGTATTAGCATCTGTAAAGAGAAATAGTGTGACCTAATACTTGACGTAAAAATCTAACAGGGTTATTCACTAAAGGGTGAAGAGTTTGGAGAAGGCAGGAGAAAGGAACAATCTAGGACAAAACAGCTGATTTGGAAAAAGTCTCCAATTCAGCTCACTTTCCAGTTCAGCTATGTTGTCCTAGATTGTTCCTTTCTCCTGCCTTCTCCAAACTATTCACCCTTTAGTGAATAACCCTGTTAATGTTCTCTGCATGCTTCTATTTCCTTTCACGAATCAAAAAATAGTAATCAGCTATTCCAACATGTCACGGAGTGTGTATGCTTTGACTGCAGGAGGGACATTAGGTAATAAGCAATAGAAAAATTATCCAGCACTTAATCCTGCTAGCCAGCAAATAACTAGCCCCCACTAAAATACAAAACTATATAGGTTTGTGGACACCTGACCATAACACCTTTATGAGCTTGTTGGACATCTCATTCCAAAAACCAGGGACATTCCACCCTAGCTTACATTTAGCATTGCAATTCATGTCAATGGTGTTCAATAGGGTTGAGGTCAGGGTTTTGTGCAGGTCACTCGAGTTCCTCCACACCAAACTTATCAAACCATGAATTTATGGAGCTGGCTTTGTGCACAGTCGTAGTGGAAAAGAAAAGGGCTTTCCCAAACTGTTGCCTCAAGGTTAAAGCACATGAATGCCATTGTATGCTATATCATTACCAGTGCAATTTACTAGAAACAGCAACTAGACATACATTATTGTGGAAGCATAACAACCATATACTTTTGGTCATATGATATGGGTTTGGTGGTGGCATACTTTTGGCCATGCACTATAAATAAAATTTATTTTTATCAATCAAATATAGACATGTGCACCTTTCCTCTTTTAGTTATAAACTAACTGAGGGGTTGCTACTTTTATTTTGGCTGCACTAGGTGCAGATACACCTGTGAGAGATGGGGTCACAGAAAGCAATAAAAACCTGACAGGGTTTCTAACTGTTTTCTGCTTATTCCAGCACAAAAACATATTGGTTATAGATACACTTTAAATGCAGTTTGAATCAGCATTAGACCTATCTTGTAGTAGGTAATGTAAAGAGACTTACTGTACTCTGCACAGCAGTGGAGATACTGGAGAGGAAGCCCAGAGCTCCTGAAATCGGTGACGAGGTCTCACCCTCTTTGGACTCGGCACTCTCTCCGGTATTAGCATCTGTAAAGAGAAATAGTGTGACCTAATACTTGACGTAAAAATCTAACAGGGTTATTCACTAAAGGGTGAAGAGTTTGGAGAAGGCAGGAGAAAGGAACAATCTAGGACAAAACAGCTGATTTGGAAAAAGTCTCCAATTCAGCTCACTTTCCAGTTCAGCTATGTTGTCCTAGATTGTTCCTTTCTCCTGCCTTCTCCAAACTATTCACCCTTTAGTGAATAACCCTGTTAATGTTCTCTGCATGCTTCTATTTCCTTTCACGAATCAAAAAATAGTAATCAGCTATTCCAACATGTCACGGAGTGTGTATGCTTTGACTGCAGGAGGGACATTAGGTAATAAGCAATAGAAAAATTATCCAGCACTTAATCCTGCTAGCCAGCAAATAACTAGCCCCCACTAAAATACAAAACTATATAGGTTTGTGGACACCTGACCATAACACCTTTATGAGCTTGTTGGACATCTCATTCCAAAAACCAGGGACATTCCACCCTAGCTTACATTTAGCATTGCAATTCATGTCAATGGTGTTCAATAGGGTTGAGGTCAGGGTTTTGTGCAGGTCACTCGAGTTCCTCCACACCAAACTTATCAAACCATGAATTTATGGAGCTGGCTTTGTGCACAGTCGTAGTGGAAAAGAAAAGGGCTTTCCCAAACTGTTGCCTCAAGGTTAAAGCACATGAATGCCATTGTATGCTATATCATTACCAGTGCAATTTACTAGAAACAGCAACTAGACATACATTATTGTGGAAGCATAACAACCATATACTTTTGGTCATATGATATGGGTTTGGTGGTGGCATACTTTTGGCCATGCACTATAAATAAAATTTATTTTTATCAATCAAATATAGACATGTGCACCTTTCCTCTTTTAGTTATAAACTAACTGAGGGGTTGCTACTTTTATTTTGGCTGCACTAGGTGCAGATACACCTGTGAGAGACTGGCAATTATTTATGATACACAGTGCATTAACTGTAGAGACTGGCAATTATTTATGATACACAGTGCATTAACTGTAGAGACTGGCAATTATTTATGATACACAGTGCATTAACTGTAGAGAATGGCAATAGCTGCAGCCCATGCTGTTATACCCTGTTGGGGAAAACCCACTCTTCCCCAACCTTAGTGACTGGGAACAAATATTCTGTCATCTTATGCAAATAGAGCACCTTACAGCATATCTTCATGACACCCAAGAAAAACATAACTCTCTATCGGGCCTTTGGCTTCCAGGGATCCACAGCATTTAAAAGTGTCCTTCCACCATAAGATAGATGAAATATGCATGCAGAGGCGTAGCAAGGTCATGAGGCACCCGGCGTCAAGTCTTTCATTAGCACAACCCCCACCACCCCACAAACCAAACTATAGTTCAATGCTCTGGACTAATTGTTGTTGGGGACGGACGAGCAGGCAAAAAAAAACCCACCTACCTGGGACACCTGAAAATGCATGTCCCAGGCATTGGGCACTAGGAATTCCACACCCCTGCAGTGGCACCCCTTCAGACAGGCGCCCGGGGGCAAGTGCCCCTCACTACGCCACTGTATGCATGTGCTGCTGTGTTGTGCTGCTCCTCCTACAACAATTTCTCTGACATTTTCTGGACCTCATTTGTTATGTGTGTAATATATTTGAAATGTTCATAGGAATATGTTTGCATTGTGGCGTTTAAGTTGCCTGCTGCTTTTTTGTTTATCCAAATAAACTTTAATTATCAGAAAAAACCTGGAGTTTTCACTTGCCTTCTGCTGCCTCTGCTCTGTCCTTAAATGACAGTTCTACAGGGCTGGGAACTCCCAGAGTGCTCTCTGCCTTCTCAATAGCCGTAGTGATCCCATGACCTGTTGAAGGAAATGTATCTATTTTAACAAACAAAAAATCAAAGAAGTAATTGTTTATTGAACATTTTTATTAGATAACTGGTAATGGTTTTAATATTTATTTATAAACTACTTCAAAATGTTTTTTGCTTTCATGGTCTCTGAAAATGATCAAAGCTGCATTCTAAGCACAAAGCTAAATACACAGTTGAAATACATATATATATAAACCTCTACCAACTGTGTTTAGACAGTCTTGTAATCCAAGTACAACACAGCCATGCTGGTGACCTCACACTTTTCTCTAGTGCAGTTGAGCAATACAGCTTGGTTACTTCCCTTATCTCCCTTGTGACTGGACAACTAATAAGCAGATACAAACCGGGCAAGTCATCACTTTGCATGCTCATCCTGTAAACATGTTAAAGCTGTTGACTGAAAGTGCTCTGCAAAGCCAAATAGCTGATTGGCTGACTCTCCCTCGCCTAGTCCGAGCGCTGACAGATTGAGGAAATTAGGCTAGTTCTGTACAGTTAACAACTGGACTAAAATGTGTTTTTTAATATGTATCTGAAGTGGTGCAGTTACACTCATTTTGTCGTACAACTGCCAGTCTTATACTCACCTGTCCCCAATTCAGCAAGATATCGTTTTTGCAACCTCTTCAGCACTGTACAACCACTTCCCGGGTAGACGCATGCATGCCCTTTGCACTCTTAATCAATCCTATGCAGTGCTCCTGAGTGCACGCTCCTACTCTGGACTAAACCTCCATACTCCAAAACTCTCCATTGAATTGAATAAGAGTGCAGAGGTCAAGTTTGACAGGAAGATTTCGGCTGTGTGGCGCTGACAAGGATGCACAGTCAATAATTTGGATCAGAAAGCGAGTATAGAATATTTTGGATCGCAAGTGAGTATAGGACAAAGAGGGGGCTACAAAATGAGTGTAAGCCAACATACTTTACCTGTGGGAAGCCATAAAGCAGTTATTAAAGTTCTTATTAGACACAATACACCAGGTTAGACTGAAATCTAAAAACATAAAACTAGCCATACATCTTCATATCCAAATGATCACATCTTCATGAGACCAATAATTTACCCAACATACACATCTACTATTCAGGGTATGTAGGGCAATCTCTCATAGTAATGCAGGGTTGCATCAGCTTGTCTCTGTTGACTAAGCAAAGAACTTTGCCTCCTAATTTTCCCACATTTTCTAAGCTCACCCAGCTTTAAAAAGACCCTGCCACAAACCTAAAAAAATGCAAGCAACAGCACTCAAAAAAAGTATGTTTTATGATAGCTTGCAATGTTTTTCCGTTCCTTCATTTATTTTTATTCACTTGCAATGTGCCTTGAACTTGCAAGAACATTTGGCTAATCCAAGAAGAGTTAATTCCCGAACACAGCCCCCTCCTTATTGCATATTATAACCCTCTCCTCTTCTGTGAGAGTCTAATTACTGTCTGTGCTGGCCCATCTTCTCGCCCCTCCTCACCGCTCTACATAACCTGGATGTAGCTGTCAGGGTAGTAGGCAAAGGAAATACTACAGAGCAGTGGTGGCAATTTGAAAACAATATAGGGCCTCAAGTGCAGCCCTGACACCTCTTATGGATAGCACAATAACACTGCATTTTTGTGTGTTGAGGTGTAATCGTGTCAAGTGAATGGGCTGTAACACTCCCCAAAAAATTTCAGTTCTGCTGTATTTTTTGCAGTGTACCAGAATGCACATTAACCTCTTGCCGTCCGCCCGTAGTAAAAAAACGGACGGACGGCACTGCAGCATCTGCGGGTTGCCGTCTCCAGACGGCAATTTTTTTCTGCTCGCGCGCGCCCCCTAGCGGGCACGCACGGGCAGAAAAGACCCGATCAATGCACACACCCGTTACCGGGTGTTTCACATATAGGCGATCAGCGGGTCCATAACCC